TGGACGGAGAAAGGTTTTGGGGCTTCTGAAGTGCCCGGCACGGGATAGTGTGGGGGGGGGGCTGTCCTTCAGCTGCCCTGTGAGCCAGCCAGAAGGCTGACTGAGCGGAGTGGGGGGGCTTCCTCAGCGGCGTGTGGCTCTTCTGCTCTGTGCCCAGTGCAGGACGCCAACTTGGAGCGGGTCCACCTCGCCCAGAAGGCCAAGAGTTCTGCCAGCGCCTTGGACACCCTCGTGGCTCAGCTGCTGGATGAGCTCATTGTGGACGGCAGGTAGGCGTGCGGGAGGCGGCTGTGGCCAGGCCCGCGCCCTTCGGGGGGTTTATGACAAGCGTGTTTGTTTAGGTTGGACGGGGCCCCGGTGCCGAAGAACGCCGTCCGTTGGTAAGGGCTGGCTCCGGAGGCACCGAGCCGAGGCAGCGAGTTGAAAAGGTGATGTTGGAGGCAGGTCATAAATTTCCACTCCAGCTTGAATGGCCTCATTGTGGCGAGGTGGCCTGGCAGACCCTCTCTTGGAGGGGATCTCCCAGCGTGGGGAGGGGGCATAGAACAGCCTCCCCTCCGCATCTTAAAGCGTATTGCTTGGACTCGCTCCCCCATCGCTTCCGGCTCAAAGCCGCTGTGGAGCCGTGCTCCGGGTGCCTCCTTATTGTAACGTGCAGGGGTGTCCCGAAGCTCAGAGATGGTGTCTCTGTCCCGAGACCCCCCAAAAGTGCTTGGCCCTCTGGGGGTCTTCATGCATGGCAGGCGGCTGGACAGGGGGAGGAGGAGGAGGGGCCCCATTTCCCAGTATTTCAGGTTTTCCCCGTGAAGTGCTAGGAAAAGGCAGGGCACCCAGAAGAGATTTGTCCTGCAGGACAGTGTTCAGATTGAGCGAGGTGAGAAGAAACGGTGCTGACGGCAGCGAGAAGACCACCCACCTCAGTCCTACAGTGGTAGATGGTCACAAGGTGGGCTTTTCCTTCCTTTCCTTCCCAGCTGTGCGCTGCACTCTCTGGGATACCACAGCAGGAGAGAAAGGAATGAGTCTTCCCGAAGTCCGGCTTAACTTTTGGCGGCTTCACAGACACGTCCACGAGATTTTCTTGGCAAGCGTCCGGAAGGAGTTTCCCGCTGATGGTTTTTTGACTGCCCAAGTCTAGCCTTCAGCCTGGGACTCCCTGTGGCCTCCCCCAAATATTAACTGGCATTTGTCCCCGCTTAGCAGCATCTAGTTCAGTGTTTCTCAACCTTGGGAACTTTAATATGGGGGGACTTCAACCCTCAGAATTCCCCAGCCAGCCATGGGGAATCCCCCACTGGGAATTCATGGCATGGGGAATTCCCCAGCTGGCTGGACTTCCCCAGCTGGCAGGGGGATTCTGGGAGCTGAAGTCCACACATCTTAAAGTATTTATTTATTTTTTATTTATTTATATTTCAAATTTGGACACCGCCCATCTCACGAGGAAGTGACTCTGGTTCTAAAGTTCCCAAGATTGAGAAACGCTGGCCTAAAGGTAGGGCTGGCTCTGCTTCCTGCCCCCCACCCCTCAGCTTGTAGTCTTCTGCTCCCCAGCCTCTCTTCTGCCTCTCTTTGGCCATCCTGGCGGTGATGCCCGGGTCGAAGGACAAGTGTCTGTGCTGTAGATGGGTGAGGCGAAGGGGGTTGGGCGCTGCTGGAAAGGTGCCCTCCTTCTGCAAGGCCTTGCAGGGTCTTCCCACCCCCTGCACTGACTTAGCCAATGCCAAAGCCATTCCCCAGGCCATAAATCAACCGGGCATCTGTGTGTGCCAGACACGGCCTGGGCACATCCCGGACTTTGGCTTTCCACTGAGAAGGCTCCCTCCAACAAACACGCCATTCAGTTTTGGGTCTGGGGGTGGTGGGTGTCACTGCAGAGGCTGCCAAGCTGGGAGGGAAGGAAGGAGACCCCCTCGGACCTGCTTCGGGTTTGTAGCAGCCCTTTGCCAGGCAGACCCCTCCTTATTAAATCTCCATGCGGGTTCCTGAGCCGAGGCCCTCCGTGGCTTAAGTGCCAAACGGGAGCTCACACTTGATGGACCACGCGAGGAAGCCGAGTCGCTGGGCCCGTGCAAAATGCACCCCCAGTAGAGGAGCAGCAGCCAGTTACAGGAACGAAAGGGAGGAGGACTCAGGGTCACGGAAGGCAAGGCGGTTGCCCACTCTGCTGCAAATTAAAACTTCCTCGGGGATTACTCTAATTGAGTTCATTGAAAGAAAAATAAACAGCCTTGGTTTCCACAACAGCTGAAAATAACCCAGCAGAAAAATGTTATTTTGTGCTCATGTGGAAGAACACAGTGTTTGTTTTTCCTTAAAAGAACTGAACTGGGGCTGATCCTCCGAGGGCCAGGACACCTCGGCTTTCACGAGGCTCTGCCGCTGTTGGGCCAACAGCCCCTCCCTTCTCCTCCCCCTGCTCAGATTAGCAAAGTCCCCGAAATCTGATTGTTTTTCTTCTGCTTTCGCGGACCTTCACCTCTTTAAAGCTAACGGGGACACAGGTCAACATTCAGAGTGTGGATTTATGCTTTGCAGTTCATTTGGCCAGGTTTACCTTTGGATTTCAACGGGAGCTCCGAAGCAGGTGGTTGAAGAGTTCCCATCATTGGTGGAAGGAGTCCGGAGGCTCCTTTTCTGACGAACCAATTTTATTCCAGGCCAGAAGCTTCCCCAAGAAAGCTTCTGCCTTGGAATAAAATTAGTTTTTGGAAAAGGGGCTACTAGACTCTTGATTTTTGGCCACCATAGACTAACAGAGGTCTTTTCCACACCACCATCCTGGAGCACGTGCGTCTTCTCCCATGCCTGTATGGAGGACATTAAGATGCCTGTGGTTTATTTGCGGTAACATTTTCTCTTTGGGCTGTTCCCATGGTTGAGTTAAACATGATCCACCAGCCCTTGAGTCAGTGAAAACTAGACCCGCATTAATTTGCGGTCCCCGCTGATGATCCCTACCCTCTCACAGGCAGGATGCTGGCAAATGGCGTTCCTTTATTTATGGTGCCCGGAGCAGGTTTAGGGCAAGGACTGGGGGGCTCTCCCTGCTTTGTTTCCTCCCCATCCCCACCATTGGAAAGTGTCCACCAATCCCCCTCTTGACGCTGGATGATGGGTGAAGCCCGTGACAATTTACCCATGGCAAAACTGCTGTGGCCTCTTCTAAAGATGGTTTTAGGCTGTTCAGGGATGGCTGGTTGGGGATGAGCTGCAGGTAACCTTTTGAGGTCATGCTTGGGTTCTCCTTAAGTGGGGGAAGGCCCTCAAATTAAATTTCAGGGGAAATCAATAGCAGCGGGCAAAGGGCCTTTGCAGACCAATTTCCCGTTGGAATGCTGCAGCTGTTCTCCTCTAACATAACTTACAATTTGCCATCAGCAACTGCACAATCCTTTGGAAGAATCACAGACAGGAGGACATGGTCAAGACCTATATATCGGGCAATTTCCCCAGGCCACTACAAAATCTGGTGGGTGGGGCAGTGGGAGAAGAAGGGCAAGAAGAAACAGAGTTAGTTTTGCAGAATCTGCCTTGGGCAACCCTTATTTTATTCCCTGGGTTGGGCTAATGGATGGGCTCCCCTTGCTATTTCCTTCCACAGCCAGCCCCTGGTTGATGTCACCCAGAAGCCAAACAGCACCCATCTGGACCAGTATCTTTATCGTTTCCGCACCACCAACCTCAATCAGATGGTCCAGGCGGCCTTGAAGCTGAAGCATGAAGACTCTGATCTGCAAACGATCCTGGATCAGGCAGAAGATTGGCTCTCTCGGTTAAAGTCCATGGTGGAGGAGGTAAACGTAGTTCCTTGCATGCAGAGAGGAACGAGGACTCCCACCTCTTCTAAATTGTGGGGGTTTAGCATTTTTTTGTCTAGGGAAAGGGGATGCCAGCATTCTGACTGCAGGAGAATCCCTGGTGTTGGGCAACATAATCCCTTTTTGCCAAAGCATGTCAAGGGTCAAGGACAGCCCGAAGTGCAAATACGAGAGGGGGAGGTTCGCAGATTCTGGGCTGGCCTCGCTGCCTTTGCCAACATCAACCCTTGGGAGCACATGGCTTCTCGACCCTTCCCCATTTTGGTATCTCTCCTTTGAACTTGCTCCAATTTGTCCTTTTTGAATTCTGGTGCCCAGAGCTGGGTACAATATTCCAAGTGGGATCTGAACCAGACACAATAGTGGGGAACAGTGTTATCCCATCAGCTGGACTCTGTGCTCCTGTTGATGCACCCCAAGATAGCACTTGCCTTTTTAGCAGCTGCTTCACATGACTGGCTCAGGTTAACTTGTGCTTGACCAGGATACCCGGATCCCTTTCACATATCCTACTGCCAGGGCAGGTCTCTTCATCCTATACTTGCGCCTCTCATTTTTCCTACCCAGATGCTTCCACCTGTTCAGTTCTGTTTATTTACTTCAGCCCACTGCTCAAGCCTCTCGTGATCTTTGTGAATCCTCTCTCTCCTCTAAAATATTAGCCTCCCCTCCCCGTTCTGTGTCATTCTGTGGCAGCCTTGAGGAGTGTTCCCTCAACTTCCTCATCCAAGTCAGTGAGAACCGTGTTGAACAGCACGAGGCCCAGGACAGACCCTGTGGCTCTCCACTCAAGACTTCCCTCCGAACGAGGTGGAGCCATTTGCTAGCACTCCTTGGGTGCGGTCATGCAGCCAACGGAGAGTCCACCTAAAAGTAGTGTCATCTAGCCCAACTTTTACCATTTTATGAAGGCGACTCTCGGGACCGACTCCGTTAAAGGCTTTGCATCTGAGGCCCAGATACCCTCTGCCCCTTGATCTGCGCAGCTCACAACTCCGTGAGGGAAGGAGGTGCGATTTGTCTGGCATGAAGGTGACCCCCTCTAAGGCCTGATTCCCCTTTCCCTGCAGAGTCTCTCATCCTTGCCTGCAAATCATCTCTTTTCCAGCCCCAGAACAGCCTCCCGGATGTCATGATCTGGATGCTGCAAGGGGACCGGCGCGTGGCTTACGCCCGGCTGCCTGCCCGTGAGGTCCTTTTCTCCCGCAACGGAGCCAGCTGCTGTGGGAAGAACTGTGGAAAACTCCAGACCATATTCTTAAAAGTAAGTTTTGTCAGGTCCAGGTGGGATTTTGACATTGCAGTAGGGATGGGGAGGCTGCGCGGGATAAAACGTTTGCAAGCGCTTTCCGCTCAAGCAACATTTCTTCTCCTTCTTGGGGGTGGACGGGATGACCTTTGGGCCCCGGCCCCCAAACTGCGCTGGGCAGGGCAGCCTGAATGCACAGAACTGAATGGAGCCACGTGACTGTTCTCGGCTTGTTTGAAATTAGGTCATGGCTGCTCTGATGAATACCAGGCACCAGCAAGGCATATAAATAGAAATGCTGGTGCAGCTGCAAAAATACAGTAAAAGAAAATACAGAAATCACAAATCCAATTTAAACAATGCAAATGAACCAAGATAGACTATCCAAAATGTTTGTTTGAATGCAATTTCCTCATCTGAAAACTGCAGCCCCAAATCTAGCTTGTTCTTACTGAAAAACACACAAAATGCATCTATACCAAAATAGCAACAATGACACAGAAGATGACCAAGATTGTCTTTGCCTTACCTTCCCCTTTCCTCAATGAGCTGATACCCTGATTTTAATACTACTACTACTACTACTACTACTACTACTACTACTACTACTACTAATGATGTATTTATTTGCAAGAAATACCACTTGCTTGCAAGCAAGAACTGGTGGGACCACAAAACAGACAAACGAGTAGAACATGAAGAGGCTC